ACTTCTCCCACACCCGCTGCTTTGCCTCGGCCACGGATGAGGTTGCTGCCCTTCGGGCCTGTCGGTACCTTGCAACTGCCTCGGGAGTCCCCCGGGATAACAAATCCCTGAAGGCCTCCTTCTTCAGTCGGACGGCTTCCCTGACCACCGGTGTCCACCAGGAGGTTCGAGGGTTACCGCCCCTTGAGGCACCTAGGACCTTGAGACCACAGCTCCCCGCCGCGGCTTCGGCAATAGAGGCTTTGAACACCGACCACTCTGGTTCAATGTCCCCAACCTCCACAGGAATGCCCGAAAAGCTCCGCCGGAGGTGTGAGTTGAAGGCCTCCTGAACTTGGGCCTCCTCCAGACGTTCCCAGTTCACCCGAACTACACGTTTGGGCTTACCAGGTCTATCCAGAGGCTTCCCCCGCCACTCGACCCAACTCACCACCAGATGGTGATCAGTTGACAACTCCGCCCCTCTCTTTACCCGAGTGTCCAAAACATACGGCCTCAGGTCCGATGATACGATAACGAAATCGATCATGGACCTTCTGCCTAGGGTGCTCTGGTACCACGTACACTTATGAGCATCCTTATGTTCGAACATGGTGTTTGTTATGGCCAATCCATGACTAGCACAGAAGTCCAGTAACAAACCACCACTCCGGTTCAGATCAGGGGGGCCGTTCCTCCCAATCACGCCCCTCCAAGTGTCTCCATCATTGCCCACATGTGCGTTGAAGTCTCCCAGCAAGATTAAAGAGTCCCCTTCAGGAGCCCCATACAGGACTCTTTCCAGGGTCTCCAAGAAGGCCGTATACTCTGAACTGCTGTTGGGTGCATAAGCACACACAACAGTCAGAGTTTTCCCCCCCATAACCCGCAGGCGTAGGGAGGCGACCCTCTCGTCCACTGGGGTAAACTCCAACAACGAAGCACCTAACCGGGGACTTGTGAGTATCCCCACACCCGCCCGGCGCCTCACACCTTGAGCAACTCCGGAGAAGAATAGAGTCCAACCCCTATCCAGAAGTAAGGTTCCAGAGCCGACGCTGTGCGTAGAGGTGAGCCCAACCAGATCCAACTGGTAACGCTCCACCTCCCGCACAAGCTCCGGCTCCTTCCCCCCCAGAGAGGTGACGTTCCACGTCCCCAAAGCCAGCTTCTGTCGCCCGGGTCTGGTCCGTCGAGACCCTCCGCTTTCACTGCCACCCTTCTGGCAGCGCACCCGACCCCATCGATGTTTCCCGTAGGTGGTGGGCCCGCGGGACGGAGAAGCGGAGATGTTGCCCACGTTGCCTTTTCGGGCTGGGCCCGGCCGGGCTCCGTGGCAAGCCCGGCCACCAGACGCTCGCCCACGAGTCCTCCTTCTGGGCCTGGCTCCAGAAGGGGACCCCGGGCTTCCTCCGGGCCGGGTATCCTCACTTCTTGTGTCGTCTTTCATGAGGTCTTTTGAACCAATCTTAGTCTGGCCCCTTGCCTGAGACCAATTTGCCATGGGAGACCCTACCAGGAACACAAGGTTCCAGACAACACAGCCCCCAGGTTCATCAGGGCACACACACCTCTCTACCACGGTAAGGTGCTGGTTCCCCAGAGAGGAAAACATAGAAATATCTCTTTGGTGAAACTGATAAATTATCCAAAACATGACAATACCTAATTCAGTGAATTCAAAGTATGTCCCTCTGAGATGCAGTGGAGCAGCAGTATATAGTAGCATACACAGAACGATTCAAGGAAAGTACAAGTACTTCAAATATGTACTTAAGTGTAGTACCTTTTGGTTGAATTAACATAGTTAGATTCCACCATTTATAAGTCTCACCTCATAATCAGTCAGTAAAGAGTTTCAGGATGTTCAACGTGCAACATAGAGTCCAATTGAGGAGGGAATCATTATAGCTTCTCTTATGCCCCATGCATATGTGATACCAATAATAATAATAATAATAATAATAATAACTTTTTTTCCGTATCCAAGCCATTATAAATCTTCAACCAATCCATTATCACTTTGCAAAGTCTCCATGAATACTCCTCCACTGTAGAGCTCCATGTCCCTGATGACCTCCCATCACCACTTTCATCCCACTCTCACTTCCCGGGCAGCAGTAATGTGTGCGAGCATGCACATGTGAACAGTGGGACTATTGCAGCCTGTGAGCAATGTAATACCTCACCAGGCACTGCGCCAAATCAAGACGGGATTATGCCACATGCTCCCAGCAGTCCATCACTATCACGCTAGGATCAGTCAGATCCAACCGTGTGTGTGTGTGTGTGTGTGAATTCATTGAAAGTATCAAGAGTCAAAGTGCTTAAAATGGTACTTAGACTTTAACAAGTAAGGAAGGAATACTAATCTAATATATATAAATATATATCAGCCCTCAAAACTCATCTTTTCACTCTTGCCTTCAACTCCTATTCCACTAACCCCTCGACCCTATTCCACCTAGTTTAGCACTTTTTAACTTTTATTTTTATTTTTCTTTACTTTGCGCTTTGAGAACCAGGAAAACCACTATATATCATTTATTATTTATTATTATTTTTTATTATTATTATTATTATATATTATGTGCTAAATTAAATCTCACTGGGTGGCATGGGATTGTTCTGCTTTTAAGGTGGTTGGTAAAAACAGCATTACTTACCTCTGAAATGTAAGTTGAAGAATAAAAGGAAATGTAAAAATACTCCATTGCAAGTCCTGCTGTGTGTTGTGTGTGTGTGTGTGTGTGTGTGTGTGTGTGTGTGTGTGTGTGTGTGTGTGTGTGTGGTGTGTGTGTGTGTGTGTGTGTGTGTGTGTGTGTGTGTGTGTGTGTGTGTGTGTGTGTGTGTGTGTGTGTGTGTGTGTGTGGTGTGTGTGTGGTGTGTGTGTGTTGTGTGTGTGTGTGTAGTGTGTGTGTGTGGTGTGTGTGTGTGTGTAGTGTGTGTGTGTGTGTGTGTGTGTGTGTGTGTGTGTGTGTGTGTGTGTGTGTGTGTGTGTGTGTGTGTGTGTGTGTGTGTGTGTGTGTGTGTTGTGTGTGTGTGTGTGTGTGTGTGTGTGTGTGTGTGTGTGTGTGTGTAGTTTCAAATAATAACAGGTTGCAGAAGAGCTGTAGCTAATACTGAGGGGGGGAAAGGTGCATGGTAACAGAATGAGAATCTGCAGAGGGGGAGAATGACAGAAGAAGGGAAAGTGGCAAAAAGGGGGGTGGGGGAGTCAGGAGAGGAAGGGAGGGGAGGGAGAGGTGCACGAGATGTTTGTAGGAAGCAGGGAAACAGGGGCAGCGGCAGGGGGGATTCTACTTTAGCGAGGGGAAGCATGATCCTGCTGTGAGGCCGGGCTGCTGGGGCTATATTTAGCTTCTGTTGCCATGTGCTGGGAATGTATGGCAGAGGGAGACACACACACACACACACACACACACACACACACAAACACACACATAATACTTTCATGCTGGTGTTTCTGCACTCCTGCACATGCTTGTTTGAAGTTTTTTTTCATGCATGCATGTTGGCCTACACTTAAATGAATGTTTCCTTTTCGCTCACACACTCTGACACGTGATTTTTTTTTACATTGTAGGCAATCACTAATACTGGAGAAGGGGGTTGTCAATATTTCCGTGCCGCACGTGTCGGTAAATCAGAAAAGCCTCAGTGCCAGATTAATGAATTTGACCTTAAAACCGGTCGATAGAGGTGATATGGAAGATATATTCCGTGTGTTTTGGTCAAGGCAGCAGTAAGAATAGAAGATAATGAGTTCATACATTTTTCTTGCAGCTCGTGACCGTTTTGCCCCTTTAAAGTTAGATGCACATCATTCCATAATCAGCTTTGCGCACCCACGAGCTGAGCATCTCTCATTGGTGCTGCAGTCGAGTCGAGACACAGTCCAAGGTGTCGCCATGCAAACCCGAGCAGGCAGTACCAATGAAAAGAAGTCGACTTCCTCCCCGCTGCCTCTGATTGGCTGAGTTTCTTTAAGTCTGTTTTTGTGAAGAATAAGAGCTGATTGACATTTCATTTGAGCAGAGCCGTGAAGTTCAGATTATGGGAGGTTATGGATGTTCGTCTTTTATGGTGTGTTCTGTGACACCTACAGAGGACATGTTTGTGGTACGGTATATCACTAAATCATATTCTCATTGATCACAAAGAGTTAAACCCTGCTGTGTACCGCTGTGAAATAAAAAAGAGGAAATGAATAGCTTGGGCGATTTAAAAAGAGGTCAAACTAAACAGAACTGAATCTTCTCTGTGATACGGTAAGGTATAGCCCCGTGAGAAGTCTTCTCTAAAGTTTTTTTTTTTTGGACAAGACTAGTGAATAAACATTTCTACCTTGCTTGTCAGCCCCAGAAATATTAGGTTAAATGTATTATTATCTACTTAATGTATACATGTAAGTAATATATTGACATTTGCTTCCTTAGCTGTAGCAGTGGCAGCTCTCTGCTCTGATGTGAACTCATCAGACTTATCATTACATATAGGTGGAATTTAACCCTTGGATACACATTCATGGTATAAGCAAGTGCCTCTATCATTTCATCAAACAGTTCATTACACACTGGGTTCATGAAGCGTATAGAAAATGTGTTTAAAGATTTAAAATAGCTCTTGTGCAAAAACATGGCTCATATGTAACCATAAAGATGAAGTTTGGCTGAAGAGTTTAATATTTTCGCTGTGTTTTTTTTAACTTATAGACACTTCATCTAGTCTAGGTTTAAAAATGAGTCACGAGGAACATCCCTTCTCTAGAGCCAGTGTTTTATTTGTCCCTTCTGGGCTACTGTAGAAACATCAGAGTTCAACACAGACTCTCCTGCTCCCTATGTGGATTTACTTTTTTTTAATTCAGTTTGATCTAAAAAAAGAAGGTGAGATATTTTCCAGAAGGGAAATGCATCTGTGATTTGTTTACATTGACATTTAGTCAGTTCAACAATTCAAACTGATCAGGCTTTAGAGATGTTATTTGTTTGGTGAAAACATAACAAATGGGAAAGAACTGGGAAACACTGGATTATTTATCATATTGAATGCATCATTAGCAAAATGAGGACAGCATGTGGCTCATGTCCTTTATGTAAATAGAAAAATGATCACTGAAGTACATAAACACCGAAGGTACATAAACAAAAAACAACACAATGTTAATGAAATGCTACTAGCTTTTAGCTGGTTTTACATTCTTAAATCTCTTTTAACAAAACACAAACAATATATATTCACAGTTCTAGATAGTAGAGAGATACATTGAAGTAAATGAACAACAACAAATATAAAACAATAGTTTGGAGGAATATCCTGTTACAATTATTCGAAGGAGATAAATTAAGTTTCTACAAATCGGTGTCTCGGTGAGTACAAATCTTATAAAGTCAAACTATCTTTAATGAAATAGAAGTCATCACTGCAGGAGGAGGGAATATGACAGACGAAGGCTCCATCTAGTGGCGAGGCAGAACAATAGGAATCTTCTACATCATTCTGTACAGAAAAAAGGACGGCAGCAACACTAGTTTAATTTGAAGCAGGTGAGACGGTTGGCACTGTCCACTTCACACATCTCCAGAGGCTTGCTTTCTTCCTCCCAGGAAGTGCTGATCAACCAGCCGCGACACTTCACAGACTCAAATGAGTTCTGAGAGACTCCCTCGGTCCTCTTGAAGAACAGAAAGCGGTCCATGTCTCCATCGTCGCTGATCTTTTTGAGTTCCCCCTCATCGCACTTCTGCCGTAAGAAAGGAGAAGAGAAAATGCCTCATTATGTCATGGATGTATGGAAACACAATTGTAACAGTAAAATAAAAGAGAGATATTTATGATATAAAAAAAAGAAAGATAACATTTCAGAGATGACAATATGAGCAAAACAACAACATTGAGAACGTCCTAATTGTGACATCATCAGAAGACTACAAATAGTATTGTATCCAGGACAAATTAACCCCAACATCTTATCTGCTTACCTCCAAAAGCAACGTAGCTTTGCCATCTTCCAAAGAGCAGGACATGTGCAAGTCTCTACCGATGGACAGGACGACCGTCTGGCCGTCGCCATCTGAGAGAGTCATGTACTTTGACATTTTAAAATTCACTGATGTGGAGAAAAAAAAGAATACAAATGTAACGTTCATTTAAAGTCATTGCCGTGTCCATTACATTAGTTTTGCTCTCAACTGTGGAATGGTCAATAATTAATTACATCAAAGACAGAAATACTAAGGTCTTAAAGTCTTAAAGTCAACATTTAAAAAAAGTGCATATTAAGGTTGTGGTTTTCTTCATGTGTATCCACTTTTAGCTTATTTGTGTACAACTTAGCAGATTCGATGTTCAGTACTGCATCGTATAATATAAGCATTTATTTTTCTCTTTATGTAAAAAAAAAAAGTGTCAAATGTAACTCTAAGGCAGGGGTGTCGACCTCAATTTAATCTCCGGCCACATTAGCATCATGGTTGCACTCAAAGGGTCAGTTTTATATACGAGACTATAAAAAATACATATATAAATATTTAATATATATAAAATAATGTATTATATTACATTATTGCCATGCATTGGATTATTATCGGATAGGGTAATAACTTAATAAGTCTCTTCATTGAGAATGTCACACAATGATTTAAAAAGAAAAGCCAAATTCTGGAAAAAAAAGAAATGACATTTTGAAAAAAAAGTCAGATTCTAAGAAAAAATGAATATTTTGAAGAAAGAAAGTCACATTTTGAGAAAAAAGTCAAATTTGTATGTAGTTTATGGGCAACGCGCTTCTGTAAATCGGCATGTAACCTTATAATAAACATATTATATTCTTTGAATATACTGGCCCACTCTTGTGGGCCACATGAAATGAAGTCACGGGCCGGATTTGGCTCCCGGGCCTTGAGTTTGACACCCCTGCTCTAAGGTGTAGTGGAGTAGCAGTATAAAGTTGGACAATAGTGTAAATGCAGTATTCAGTACCTTTGCGTTCACGCTGACCTCCTTGCAGAGTGATGGCCTGCAGTTTTAACTCATCTGATGAGTAGACGACATCTTTTTGTACCATGTCACACAGGGTGCATTGTATCACACTGTTGAGCCGATGAAATATTCTTGTCACTGTTGTGGACGAGCTCTGGATCTCGACGGTTGTTTCTGTGGAGAGATGTTAGCAGCTTTCAGAAAAGGAGCTGCAAAAAAGGACAACGTGTCTTGGAGGGGCATGAAGGCCAAATTGAGGGGGCATAGTGGCCATGATAGTATAGCCTTCAAATCAAACTTTTTGCAGAAACCACAGCGCTCTACAACTTAGTTCACCGCTTTCAACTGCTTAGAAACTGGAAGTAGTGGATTTCTTGTTATGGGTCAAATTAGCTCATTTACCAGCAGAAGTTTCCACCACAAAACCACATCACCTGCAGCAGCAGTATGCTGTACAGTAGTTCATCAGCCTTGACTTCAGGGATTCACACAGTACAATATGATCCAGGAAGTCCAGTGTGAGTAACAGATGAATGCATTTAAAGGCTCAAGTATTCAGATGATTTGTGTAAATACAATTACTAATTGCATACTGGGAAATGCTCAACTACAAGTAAAAATCCTGCATTCAAAACCCTACATAAGTACAAATATGTAATGTCCTGAGGGTTATAAGGATAACAAATTAGTTGTTTTGATATATTTGGTAACAGAGCCTGATGTTCTTATTTGACCAATGATAACGTTTAAATACTGGTGTTCCCCACCAGTCACCAGGCTGTCCATGATGGCGCTGCAGAGCTCCTCCTCTCTGAGCCCCCGGCTACAGCAGCTCAGACCCCTCTTCATCCTGTTCGCCGCCAGCAGCAGGATAGCAACATGCTGCAGGGTCTTTGGGTTTCTGGAAACCACCAGGTCCAGTCCCTCCTCAATACTGAAGATCTCATCTTGAACTTCCTGCACACAGACAGAGACAATAGAGATCATGACAGCATGTGCTCCTGCAGGTGCTTCCCCTTTTCTGAGTCAAACCGAGCCAAATGTCGTGCTTGCACATAAACAAGTTAGTTAACATTTGTATTTATTTACATAATTTGCTGCTCAAACGTAAGCAGGCTTTCATTCATGGGTTTTCACACACATGAAATAGTGTGAAATATAGGCATCCCGATTTTACATAAACCCACACAGATAGATATTTAGGCTCTTGCATGATGTATTTTCAAATACTAGCAACTAATTGATCCTACTAACAAGTATTATGTGTATCCAAAATCAGTACTATTTATTCTTCTAGTGATTTGTGTCACAGCTGTTTAAGGATTCACATGCTTGCAGTTGAATTAATATGATAATTTAAGTTAAGTTGTTATCAAAGACGTAGATACTGTTATACTCATAAAGTACATATACAAACATTCTCATCACATATACCTTTTAATATCACATAAAGACAAAGTGATAATAAATGTGACATGCCATAGAAAATGTATATCAAGACAAGTAAAAGTATACAAATATAAGTGAATTATGGCTTTTCGTGGCCTAATCAAAAAATGGTTTACCGTCATGTTAAAGAAGCAGCCCTCAAATCCATTGTCCTCTAAATCGAGAGGGCTGAAATACAAAACATGATTATTTATAAATGAAAAGGATATTATATTAAAATAAAATGTTTTCGATATGCAGTTAGAAAGGCTTACATTGAGAGCATTTTCATTTGGTACTTAATGAAATACACTTGTACTTTTTACCAAGTCTTATTCCCCGTGGTGGAAGATGTATTCACGTCATTTACTTAAACAAATATAATAGCTAACTGTAAATACTCCATTATAAGTAAAAGTCCTTCATTCAAACCTTACTAAGAAAAAAGTATTAACAGAGAAATGTACTTCAAATATGAACAGTAAATGTACTTATTCAGCAGAAGATGTTCCTATGATGTGTTTACGGTTTTGATATTACTGTTGCAATAGTGTGTATATTGCATTTGACTGCTATGGTTTCGGTCATTTTAACTATTCACCAAAATGTGAACAACATGCTGTAAGTAAGAAGTGAAACACGTCGTCAGCCAGACCGGAGCTGTTCCCTTTTTAAAGGTGCCAGTCACATTGTATGTTTGCAGGAACTCCATGCTTTTGATTTAAAAACAGATGTCTTGCTCTAAGCTTCTGTAACGCATTAAGTATCTTTTAAAGTCCTAATTTTCATTTGTAATGTTGATATTTCAAAAATTAAGAGAACAAAGTATTCAGAGAAAATAATGTACGACAGAAACAACTTACCCTTCTAATGCTTGGGACAGATCGAAGTCGGACATTGTCTTGATGATAAATCTTAAAAAAGGATTAAATATGAAAAGTAACAGATTTCACTGAAGCGTGAGTGTTGGATGAGTGTTTCTGACTGAGCGAGGCTGATTGAGCACCTCCTCTTTATTCATTCTCAGCTTCCTGGTTCACTTCTGCCATGATGTCATCAAAAACCACAATAAACCCCACACCAAACAAATACACCTCACAGACACTTATTTCTCATTATGATACTACTAGTCAAATGTATAGATCATTTTCTGAAACAAGACATAACAAGACAAATGCATTGACACATTTGTACCCTATAAGAGGATACAATACATCCCTAATTCTTGCCTAATCTGGCACTTTCTAGACGATGACTATGGATTTTGTTTGCATTTATGATGGTTTTACCAGCTGTAGATATCTAGGCAAACACCTAAACTTTAAAGAAAAATGAACAGTATGTCAAGGGTGAAGCTTCATCTAAACTGACAGTAGCTTTGCATGCAAAATGCATCTTATTAATTGATTTAAATGGAGCCAGTCAGCCTATGCAGCAGGTGCACTTTGGGCTCCAGCCAAAATAACACAGGGTCATTGTCAGGCCCTCTGCCTAGCCTGCAGTGTCTCCTCTGTTAAACTTATTGTTGTCACCCTCCCCCTCCGGTTATACATATTAATCCACATGAATCCCAATACAGATGATTGTATGAAAATATTTTTAAATAAATAAAATTGTAAAACAAAGCACTTTGGCAAGTTACGGCATAAGTTGCAAAATGCTTAATAAGTACCGTAAATGTCATGATATGCATTTCTCGGTCACTTGTTTGAATCCAAACACATCATACAGTACAGTGTATATGCATCTGAATGGGAAATCCTGCTTAGGTATGACAAGCTCCAAACATATATCTTTTTACTTAAACTGGACTTCCTGGTTCACATTCATTGTGTAAATCTCTAATGCACACTGCTGCAGGTGAGCTTGGTTTGTGGCAGATGCCTGCCGGTACATTTGAGCTAATTTGACCCAGAAAAAAAGACCCCAACCGTTTCTTTCTATCCACTGAGGGTGGGACTAGTTCATCTGAAGTAAATGGTGTTGTGCTGTTGATGATTGTTACGTGCTGCAGTTGGTGCTTGTGTGTGTGCTTTTGTGTGTGTTTCTCTCTCTCTCCCTGATTGTCTCCAGGTGCAGCCTCTCCCCCAGGTGCTCCCAATCCTCAATCAGAGCTTCCATAAAGGACCTGAGGAAGGTTGCAGTGGCGTCTCTCCTCCTCTGGTTGCATGTGTTACGTGCTGTAGTGTAGTGTCTCTGTGTGAGGCCTAGTTCAACCTGTGTTCTGCTAATTGTTAGGAGATGTGCTCCAGTGTGTCTTTTTTTTTACGTTAGTCACTTTCTTTTGAAAGAAAGTTGTCCTTAGTTAATTTGTTTTGCAATTTGGCTGGTGAGCCTCTACTTTTTTATTAATTAAAACCTCATTTTGTGGCTTCAGCATTCAGTTTCCTCTCCTTTTTCTCTCGGCCGGTTATTTTGTGTGTTGTTACTTCCCTTTGTACCCCTAGATTTAGAAGGGAACGTAACAATGATGAACATAAGTTTTGATTGATTTGGGGCTTTTTCAACTCTCACTAGCCACACCGTGGGAGGGGAAATCTCCCAGACAGTACGTCTCAATGCAAAAATCTGAATTTGTAAAGTACAAATGTCAAGCTTTCAGACAAATGTTTGTGGTTTATCCAAGAAGCTGGTCTACTTGAAAAGCTCCACTTTCCATGACCAACATTTTACCTTCACACCATGGCTGAAAAATGATTAGATGAAGTGCTAGCAAACAAAATGCAGAAACATAGACTACTGTTAAAACGTTTGGATGGTGAGTTGTCCCCTCAGCCATCTGACTGAAGTCAAGCTTTTGTGGCCGTTCATTACAAATGTATTCACGATAGTTGCTATTCATTTTATATTTCATGATTGTGAATCAAATCTTTTCGATTGAGGTATAAAATACTTTAGAAGATTTTTAGCTAGCTATTGTAAGGGAAACTTCTGTGTAGCAGCAATGCAGTGGGAGTCACCGACTCAGGAAAGAGACACGGGAAGAGCAGGAGCTTTGATGTCAAACACTGATGGTTTATTTGGAGCTTCGGCCGGAGAATTTACATCACAAGTCACAGCAGCCACGATCTGACTGCACGGTAGAGTTGCTTGTATTTAGCTAGTTCCGAGAGCATCATCAACATGCTGCATAACAAGATAAAATCATAACACCTTTATCAGCTGACGCCAACAGGCAGGAACAGGGAGACAGAACACTGAGAGCACAGTCAGGACAGTTTGAACTGATAAACTGGGTCAAAGTTATGGGCCTTGGAAAATATTCCCCAACAGCTATTACCTCTGGCCTTCCTTGTTTTACATTAAATGACATCATGTCTGCTTTGCAAAGACTTTGTTTGGTTTAAATCTGAGGTCATCTTAATATGTGCAACTCTGCATGTTAAAAACCCCAAACCTGAGGGGGGAAACCACAGTGTTTGTTTCCATGACAGGAAATTACAAGAGACAGATATAGCCTACTACAGATTTACACTGCAAACGGAGTGCCGCCTGATGTAAAGAGCTGGTTTAAGTTAAAACACATTAATACACTTGTTGCCCAAGATTTAATATTTATCAGAATTACCACAAGATATACTGATCTGATCATATAAAAAGAAGCTGACTGCTGATATCAATGTCGCTCTGTCAGGCAGTGGTTATACTTGTTAAAAAGATGAATGCACATGAAAGAGCAACCCGGTCTCACGGCATTTCGTTTTATAGTCACGACATTTAATCTATTGATCCGTGTTCACCAACACGATTTTCCCCTTTTTTTCGTGTCACACAGAACGATTTTAAAAGCAATGTATTTCTATTGGTAGTATGTTTCGTGCCTGCAGCACGTCTTTTTGTCCGTTCGGGTCTTGGAACACCGGAAGCTGTGGGGTTCATAAAAACATGTTCTTACTCAATATCAAGCCACGATTATTGTTTTTATTTTAAATCGTATAATGTCGGACTTTTTTTGTCGTCTGTGAGGAAAAGAAATGGGACTCAGAGCCTCAAAATACTGAAATCTGTATTTTTTTTAATATTTTGTTCCTTCCAATTTGTTATTCTTTTCTAAATAACACACTGTTATTTACTCACCACCAATAACACACAATTATCCTTGTTTTTATTTATTTGTTTAATTCCATAATCTCGGGCTTTTTTGGCATCCGTCAGGAACTGAATTTCCTAAAAATAACCGGTGTTCGCTGTCACTACCCGATCCGTCCCCCTGCCTGATCGGTACTGCGCATGTGCGAGATGGTCCGCCATATTGGACAACTCCGGACGGCAACCAAGCCCCCAGGAAGTGCGCCGGTGTCAGTACCAGATATGTTCGGCCTACCAAATATGTTCGGGTGTATTTCCGTCGCATCCGTCATCCGTCATATCCGTCATATACTCACCTCCCTCTGCTCCCAGCGCTATGCTGCCACACACCGGCCGTCTGCGGAACTGCAGCCGGAGGAACTCGGTACAGCTTGTTATGTGTGTGTACTTAATTATTTACAATTAAAAAATATATATATTCTGCGTTACTTTAGCCAACACTTTTATAATATATAAGCCTGATCATGTCGTTGAAAGCAAGTACAGATGTTCTCCCTTTTCCACAGTTCTGTGTGAACTTCATCTAAGGCAGATGCTTTGCTTCTGCACCAGTTTAGCAGAAGTCTGTTTTGTAAGACTGGTTTTGTTGCAGTCTGTTCATGCTATGTGTTTCTTGCGTAAGACTATATACACACGGAACACATGTATTACAGGGCTGTACCCAGTGTGCTTCATAAAACATTTTTGAAGCTTATTTTTTTTAAATTAAGCCGTTTCCATGTTATAACAGCATCTCGTTAAATCAATATCGGAAACAATAATTGTCTTTTTGTGGTTATTTAAATGTAATTTATGGTGCTATTAGAGTGCTTATAGACTGACCCGTTAATACAGATGCCCCCCCCCCCCCCCCCCCCCCCCCCTTTGTGTGCGGTGAGCTGGAGAGAAGGCAGTCTATTTATTTTGGTGAAAAAAAAAACCCTAACATATATGGATTGAATCAGAATATTGTGTTGGATCAAAACATATTGTACATTTTGAGAATTCTTACATCTATTACAATACATTTTGAGCTTTGGACAATGTTTGGATCAAACGAGCCAGAAACAACCTTAAGCAGCCACCACTGGAATATTATTGCAGTAATATCATAATACTAGTAGCCTTATATTAGTGTAGCCTAATATTGATCGACAAATATTTAGAAATAAATCTGGTTCTGCCTGCCTGCCTCATCGCACTATGCCCTGCTGCATTACCATGTATAGTATTTACATTCATAATGATCCTTTTTTGTTGCAGAGCTTTAGAGGCTTTAAGAGACGAACTGTCAATGATGCCAACTTGGCGACCTACAAACTAGATATAGCAATCTTGGAGCTATTGCGGCTAGCTACTTTCATTGGAAAGAGTCTCTAATTTTTTGTATGTATATATTTCATATATCCATCCCAAGCTTACCTACCCAACTGAATGAATTCACACATTCAAGTAAATAGAAAGACAGCACAGCATTCAAGTGTTTATTGAGAATTTGAACTTCAACGTTAATGGAAAAAGCTCCAAACTTTTCTCTACAGCCCTTAGTATCAAGAAATCCTTCTAGTTCCTTTTACATGTGGATAGGAAAACAGCACAGATTGTTCAGAATATATGAGGAAGCCATCAGGGAAGCAGCATGACCCAAGGCAGGACTGCAGAGACAGGTTCAGCCACGACCCGAAGTCCACGACCCGAAGTCCACGACGGGCAGCGTCCGGGAAAACCAAACTTGAAGGTAAGATATCAAATGATGATCTTCATTAATTGCAGTGACAATTTAGTCTATTCTGACATTTGTTTGTGTGAGTTAATCTTTACCTATGATATCTGGTTGCAGAAGGGACTGCAATAGCCTGGATGTTGGTCATCAGAGTAGATGCCCTGCAATTCTCCTCTTTTACCTTTCCCAACATATCCTAT